ACAGGTTGCCCAGAGAGGTGGTGGATGCCCCATCCCTGTGGAAACATTAGGTCAGGTTGGACGGGGCTCTGAGCAACCTGATCTAGTTGAAGATGTCCCTGCCCATGGCAGGGGGGTTGGACTAGATGACCTTTAGAGGTCCCTTCCAACACAGACTATTCTATGATTCTATGATATTATCAATGGGTAGAAAGAAGTAATTTCAAATCTCTAGTACATGCTTCTTAAGACTTTCTAGGAATCGCTTCATATTGCCTACAGTCAGAGATGAGACAACTGAACAAAACTGGCCTCATGCCCCATTCTAGAGTAGCAATTACAGCATTCCACGTTTGTGCAACACCATCAAGAGGCAAAGTGACCACCAGTGTAGGATTACAGTTTGGCAGAGGCTTAGTTTCTTGTTCATTTATATTTGCTTTTAAACAGGACCAAGTGTCTAGTGTAGAATGGGGCTCTTCATTTTAGAAAGCGCACAGTTATTATTCAAGCCTCACTGATAATATTAGCCTTCTTATGGCCGCCAAAGAATTGCAGATAAGGCCTATATGTAAAATCCAACCAAATATTCTCCATATAGCTGTAACAAAATGTAACATAGTCCAAATTTAGGTCCTAATCAACTTGTGTAGTAACACAGGTAAAGGAGTATTTTTTTTTTAAAACAATATTCAAAGTATTGATTTCCCTGGTAGCATGAAAACAAACGCAGCTGTCAAGTAATTAAAATGCTAGGCAGACTGCATATTTTCATTGTAGGAATGTTTACTTAAAACTTGAAAGAGAAGCACTCATTACCAAATGCTAAGACCAATGTATTAAACTTATGAAGGTACACACACAAAATTTCAGAAACACAATAATGTAAAATTCCAGGTTGAAAAAAATATAAAAGGATAATAAATTACTAATTCATTCCTGTTTTCAAGACAAATTATCACAGCATAAAAAGGCATTTAATATTTGATTTATGTTGCTTTTTTCACCATAAACTGAAGACTGAGAAAATACTTAAAATTATGCAAATCACCAAATGGGTCAAAACTCCATTTGTGGTTTTACATCTAACACTGATATTTCAAAGGGCTATAATACTTTTCTTAGGTGTCAGTGTTTAGGGTCACTGACTATTATAGGGTCAGAAATTTTAGCCTCATCATGGTATTTGTTAGTTAAAAAAGGGAATCAAATATTACAGTTTAACTGTATGTTGTCCCTACTCCTTAAAATACTCAGTCCTTTCTTACAGCTACAATGTAGATTTTTTTCATATTTTTACTATCTACTATTTAAAAAAGTAATCTAATGTACTGTGAAATTTGATACTTTTAATTACTTTGACTAACATTTTCTGTTTTGCCTCTTAGATTTTCTCACCCTTCTTGGAATATGTTAATTTTCTTTAAGGGTACCAAATTTCATGGGTCATTTACATGAAGGGGAACCTGGCAGAACTTTTTAAGCCCAGGTGTCTGACTTATAAATTAACAAGTAAATTTATTTGCAGTTAGATTTTTTCCTCTCCTTCTTCCCCCCATTACACAACTCCTTTTCCAAACAAAATCCTGTGAAAATCTTGAGTCTTCTGTCAAATAGACCTATTTCTGAATTAAACATTTTGTTCCAATGAACTTTACATAACAATTCAGAATGGCTGTCCAATTGCTGTTCCTGGCCTTTCCTGACCATGTACTTAGTTCTTTTGTCTGGACCAGTGACACAGAAAGGGATATTTTTCTTGAATTACATGACATATAATGCTAATTAAAATACCGTCTCTTCAGTGTTGAGACAGGTAGTTCTACCAGGTAGCGGCAGGTTTTTTTTCAGCTATATGCTTCTACAAGGCAACGTGAAAAATTGTAAGTGATGTTACAAAAAATCTTGTCAGAACTGCTATATGAGCTTCAGAGGTGGAACAAACATAAGCAGATTATCATATGCAAATTATTCAGGGCAATCATTTAAATTTTCTAATACATTTGAGAAGCTCTTATCTGTATTATCAAAGCCCACGGTATGCAGCTGCAATAAATAAGGCAAGATCTAAACTTCAAACAGTGGGATTGCCTTTTTCTTCACCAAGCAGCTAATATTAAAATGGATTACACCTATAAATATTGTCCCTCCTGTATCCAGTGTCTTCAGGTCTGGAGTAGCCAAAGATAAGAAGCTGGTTATAACTGTAAATTAAAACAACTTGCAGTTTAACTAGTAGCATGTTAGGACTGAAATAATTATGACCTTGAATACAGTTCCCTACATCTTATGTATCATGTGCAAGCCCTGTCAGAGTTACTAAAGGCAAATTTTATTTTCATTTAAATTGTTTCACTTAAAAATATACACAATTATATTCTGGCCATCATTAATTCCTGACTGTCAACAATACAGAATAAACCGAAAATCTGTCTTTGTTCCACGAAGCAGGTTAATGGTAAGGCAGAACTGGTAAGAAAAGAAATCCTCTGAGTGAAACCCAGTGCTTCCTGTTGCTTTAGCACTTGGTAAAAGAGACACAATACCCAGGGCTAACCACCTTGGACAGTCTGCTTAAGTTAAACCTCTAAAATGTTCAAGTTATTGGAAAGCTTTTTGACAAAGAAAGATATAATGAAGTGCTCTCATTATACCCCTCTGCCAATCTTCTGGCAGTGAAATACTGAGGTTCCAACAAATGTCTGCATGTGGGCATTCAGACTGTAAATGGAAAAGAAAAAAAGGGAAGCTTTAACAGAGAGTTCTGAAAATTCTCCCGGAGAACATAAAGTTGAACTGATTTTTTATCCCACATTAAGCATTTGGCAACTGAAACTCAATAATCAGATATGTTGATAATGTCATTGATCAACAAAAACCTCAATTCATGCATGGCTACTGCTATATTTGCTTTGTAGAATTAGTATAAGTAAACAACAATGATAATTTACTCTAGATAACACGTTGGCATACACACAGGGACCTGATGCATTCAGTGCTACAGGTGACCCTGTGTCAATTTTAGTGCATTTTCATAATGAATTACTGAGAATGAACATCAGAAGAGTATTGTCATTATAGGAATTTACTGGAATTACTTTAATTAACACTTCTTTATATTACTATGCAAAGATATCAGGAAGTAAAATTATACTGGATTTTAAGATTTAATTAGTTTAAGTTTAAAGGTCTCCTTACCTTCTATTGCTGAGAGTAGAACACGAGAATGGTCATACGCAATTACATTCGCATATCTATTCTTTGGTTTGTTTACTTCCAGGTTAGAGTGTTCCCATGTGAACTGCTGACCGGGATCAATAGACTTCAAAAGAGAAAGAGAAGAAAAGAAAAGGAAACTGTTAGTGAAGGACTACGTACTTGTTGTATTTATAATGATTACAAACCATATGCTCCCATCGTTTACTCTGGAAATATTTTGCTTTTGAAAGAAAATTATGACTTCAGGACACATTGTAACATATTATATCATATTATATAAAGTGTTTTGTATTTATGCATCTGAAATTTCCATCAGGAATTTAAACGATAAGCTTTTCAAATCCAAGGCTTTCTCTTCAGAAAGGCAAGGGTATGCTATCCATCTTTTTATCATTTCACTCAGTTTGGCAAGTGAGGGGTTCTAGCATAACAGAGAATGAAAAAAATGTCAGAAATCTCAAAAACACTGGGATGAAGGGGAATAAATATTTTTATCTTTCTCTATTACTAACTGCACATGTTCAAACTATTCAGTGTCCTGTTTACTAAATAAACTCCAAATGTTCCTGAAGAAGTTTTCCAGAAGAAAAATAATGTTGTTTCTATTCTTTCATTTTGATGCCAGGCCGACACATGATACCAGTGTTGCTCAGGGAACCAACTGCATATCATCCAGGGACAACATAAAGAGACTTGATTTTTATTTCCTTGAGTCATAAATAAGAGAGCAATTCAGGCATATATGAAATTTTAATGATCTCCTATTTATACACATAACTATATGTCCCTAGAATCACTGTTTATTTCCTGCTTCCTTTATGTTCCAGGATGGAATTACTGAAGCTTGTTCCACACTCCTTCACCAGTAGGAAGACTCCAGGCTCTGCTACTTACTTTTACCTCTATGGTTGAGGTATACATACAGCTGGGTAAATACAAAATACATAACAGATGGTACCTCCTTATGGTGCTTATAGTAGTGGCTGTATGAAAGGTCATCTCATACTGAGAAGTCACAATTAATCACTTACTGTTTTACTTTCCCTTTCAGTAGCATTAGAGATCTTAAAATTGTTTCATCAACACGTATATGCAACTATGGTTTGCGGCTCATGCCCTTTACTTAATCCTGATAACAATCAGCAGCTCCCTATGCCAGGTTGCTGTAAATTATAAAACACTAATGACACAGATAAGCCTAGATGGGGCAGTTCACCAACACTATGTTCTCTTTCCATGAGTAGACCAGCAATAAAGCACAAGTCAGAAGCTCCATACTGCCACTACAGCATCAAGCCATCACTTTTACATCACTTATACTGACCCCTCCCAGGGTTACAAAAGCTACAAGTCCATTTTGTGTTAATGGAAACAAAATATGACCTGTAATCCATTAGAGTAGGTATCATCAGACAATGAACATGTGCGAAATTAATTAGTGTGATCTCTTAGGATTTATCCCATAGATTAATAATTACTACTTGGCCAGTCAGAAAACTGCTTCATTCATATGCATCTTTACATAACTTATACAATTTATTTATGTAACATTCAGAGAATGACTTTGCTTCTTTCTTGAGATTCTTCTAAAAAAATTCATTTTGCCTGGCTGCCTGATAGAGAGGTCTTAGAATACCCCAGCATTTCTGTTTAGGAAACCAAGTCCCAGTACCTTGTTCTATCTACTAATAGCCTAGACTCAATTAACTTTTATAACAGTTACCAGCTAATCTTCCTGAATTTTGCTAACTTTCATTACAGTCCTCTGGAGCTGGGCCTGGCTGAGCTCCCCTGCATAACCTAGCTGAGATCCGCTGAGCAGAGGAGTATGATGGTTCAGGTTCTGGCTCCCCCTTTGCATACTGTTTTACCTCCAGTAGCTGAGGCAGAGTGTGTGGTAGCTCATCCCTCAAGAGGAAATGAAATGTGACTTTTTAGAGGAATGAGGAAGAAATGAACTGCTTGGGAGCATGACGAAGGCCATGAAAATTTTACTTGTGGTTTGGATTATGATTCACTTGAGTTGTATCACTATGTGTGTTACTAACAGTTCAAATGGTGTTCTTAAATGGTTTGCAGCTCTGAATGAATCTGATTTCTTTTAGTTTCCACACATTTTTGACCCCAAAAAAGATTTTTTTCAAAAAAGGCAATATTTGGGTTCACAATCTTAGCAATTTGTGGGACTATGCTTAATGTATCTTAATGTTGATAGTATTAATATCTTACTATTATTACATTAGTATCTTAATAGACTAGTTATTAAGACTAGTTATTAAGAGTTTTACAAAACTGTTGATGGCTTTTTTCAGCCTTATTTTATTTTGTTTTCATATATAGTAACAACAAACTGTCACTCAATTGGTATTCTGCCACTTGCAAAAGCAGACATCACTTCTGTGCTGTGCTTAAGTATAAACATAGCAACCTGATCCTTCCAATATTAGCGCTTGGTCCTTCTCCGACCAAAACATTACTTTTTCTGACTACACAGTGAAATTCCTATTTATCAATAAAGCAAGTGATAAAATTTTACTCTTTAAAATTTTCATTTCATTTTCTTACAATTTAGTTTCATCACAGTAATGTTTTCCCATCCTCTGAGATGGATGGTTGATAGAATTTTGAAGTAGGTAAGCACTGCTTCATTTAAAAACAAAAATATTTTTATCTTTACTGCTAAGTGCTATTTATTTCATGTAAGGTGAAGAGAAATAATTTGGACCACATTTCTGTCAGCACTGGGAAGAGGAGAGTCGTATACATACATAGTATATTTAAGACATGTATTACACCTCTTTATCAGCTGACCAGCAATTCATCTAAATCATATGACTTGAAAAGCAATCAAACTTACATCATGACTTCTCTCAGCAAGAATCTCCTCTCCTTTCCTTTTTGAGTGAATGGAGGTGAATAAGATAACTTGTGCAGGATGTTTGCAGGTCAAGTTTTCAGTATTTTAGAAAGTAATTAGAATGGGTTGGGCTCAGAATTCTAGTAATAATTTAGAACATAAACATAGTAATTTCAAAATAAACAGAAGATGCTCTCAACATATTAGTGCATTATACTCTAAATAAATTTTTAAATAAAATCAATTATTTGACCAGGAATGAAGCACATCTACACTATCTATGACTACCTAATCAGAATTTTTGAGATGCATATACGCAAACATGCTAGCTAAAGAGCAGCCCACTGCCCCAGAATGAGGCAACACTGCTCTGCATTGTTCTAGATATATAACTGAAGGAGACACTCTGCCTGATCTGTAGGTTTTTACCTACAGTGCCCAGACATTCTGGAAATTACTTCACAATATAAGATGTCACATACTTTCTCTTCACACTTGACAAGAAAACTAGAAAATAACAATACACTGGCTGACTAACATGCTGCTAGTTTTGAGCCTGGACTGCAGGACTTGGGCTTTACCCTATCAAAAAGAAAAAGGATGTACACAAATTAAAAAAACACATAAATTATCTATTCATAATTACAACTACTTGCAAACATAAAGTTTCAGGTGCTTTTTTGCATATACAGTTGCACTTAGAAAATTATTGTCTAAGTAGATTCTTACCCATTACGAGAAAGAGCTTCAGTTCTACATTATATCTATTGTTAATGTGATTTTATAGATTATTAAGAATATTTTACATTTAAAGCTTAGCTTCAACTGTTCAGTATTATTCTTCCCCTTTTCACTCCTTACTGTTTAAGTGATCTAAAGCTGCTTTTCGATATCAAGAAAAAAATCAAACAGCAGCTTTCTCTGTCAGCTATTTGCAGAAGTAGATGAGGCTATGTTCAGCACAGCAGCATACTATATTCCCCATTCACTTCTTTGTATGATGTATGGCCAGATGGTGTAATTCAGTGATTAATATTTAGGCCCGCATGCAGACATAGTTAACATAAATTATGTGAAAACCAGGCAAATGGACTGAACTTTAATCTTTCCTGTTTTTCTCACCAATCTGAACCACTTTGTGGCCTTACTATCCCCACACAAAGCACTGTTTTGGCAAAAGAAAGTTAATCTATATTTCCTCAGAGTTAATAGCCACACTGGAACAAAGAGTAGAGTGGTATTGGCAGACACGTTTCAGAAGTGTGAAAGACCAATAACTCATGAATAACAAGTCTGTGCTAACAGTTTTAATGAGTGCTTTAATGGTTTAATGGATGGCACTTTAATAGGATTTCTAGTATATTCATTCTGAAAGCTTGCCTTCAGTAAAGCTGTCATTAACGAAGAACTGGATTTCTTCATAGCATAACTGTGTAGTATGGGTGCTTTGTGCAAAAGAAATAAAGATATCTGTAATGCTGTTATTACCCTCCCATGCTTTGACTAATCTTTCAGCTATTGTGTTCTAAATGGTTGGCTGCTGAAAAGAGTCTGATCTGTTACTGGGAAAAGACTTGAGCAATATTCACTAGTACAATGCACCACCCATAAAATAGTTCTTTGACTGTGAATCATGGTAACCAAAATGTGTTTCCAGAAGAACTTCGAACAACCCCCCTCCAGTAAACTCTGTACCTGCTCGTTGTGAAGTTTTCCTTTACACTACTTAAACAAGAGGCAAATGTTCCCTCCTGTGTCAGGAGTCTTCCAGGAGTATATCCTGGTACAGCACTGGGGAAGGAACATGAGGGTAGCGTGACAAAATGCTACCCTTCCTGGTGTAAGCTGACAAATGCCTGCCTGCCCTGGAACAGTGCTCTACTAAGGGTCACTATGCCAGCAAATTAAGAGCCAGCAGGTTTGAGTCTTTGTGTGTCATGGGGATTGTGAGTTACTGTGTAGGTTTCACAAGCCTAGAAGGGGAAGGAAGCATGTCTTGTAAAGAATTTCTCAGCACTGTAGCTGCTGTGTTTGAGGCTCAAATTAAATCATCAAAAAGCACTGGGTCACAAAGCAACCTAAGACCAGGTAGAGGAAGAAGAATGAAAAAGACAAATTTGAGAGGATGTCAATGCAAATAGACCGTGCACAACTGGAGAAAGTAGTCAGCTACCCATAAAAATGAAAAATTTTACCCGCTTTTACCAATGTCAGTGATTGTGATGTGAATTTCATATCATAGCTGA